TTGTAACTAAGTTACTCTTCGGCATTGCTAATTACTACTCCTAAGCGGTTCGGTAATAATTTATCGTTTCAATAAACGTTCTACAACTGAGGGTTGAATGATTTTTTCCTTTCGCAAATCGATATTGTTCTGTCACTTAAATAATAATCAACACAAATTGAATTAGAGTTATTTAAACAGAATTGAAATTATTATTGGATCCTCGCAGTAGGTACCTACTATTATAGTGACGTCGAAGATGCGAATTATAGTTTCGGTTTTACACTAATCAATAACTACGGTTTTATTTTAATACAATTGAGTGTTCTGTTCTTTTCTTTTCTTTTTTTTTTTACACACAATCTCCTGAATACTATTTGTACTTAGTGCGGTTTTTATTATTATTGTTTGTTGTTTCAACTAGCGTCGTCCAAATGTATTTGTGGGGTACTGGGGTATAACTATTGATTTTGTACTGTCTGTTGTGTGTATATTATATTGTGGCTATATTTTCGGTAACCGGCGTATGAAAAAAAGAATGTGTGTAAAAAGAATCAGATTTAAAAAGGGGTATTACGTTTTTATCTTACTAAATATTCTAATATATTCTGTATGAGATAAAGACGCATGGGAAATTTGCTTTACAATTATTACGAGGAGTTCGAATAATATATTATAAAAAATAACGGAAAAAAATGGTTTCTCGGTAAATCTCCGGTTATATAATAAATATTATAATACAACAATAATTTATTATAAGCCACTCGACGAGGCTGCAGCGTGGTAGGTATTAAAGCTGAGATCGGTCTCGATATTATTTATTCGTGCAAATATTTCGGCATTTCGCCCTCGCGTACGAATTATAATATTTGACTTAAAAGTGTATCCACTTTAAATATAATTTACATTTAAGTCAAAACTGCATGGTCTGGTGTAACGTGTACTGCAGTTATTTCATGCTGAATGCTTATTATTGTGAGTACGTTTCATTAATAATTCAAGAACACTTTAGGCACCGACCTCACTGTATACAGTGGGTAGGTAGGTACCTACATTATTAAAAACGCAGTTTACTCAAATGCCGTATTTAACAAATTACCATTTTAATAAGTTCGTTTGTTCGTTCATTTTTCGTTGATATACAACAATAACATTCCTCTCAAAGTCCTCGCTTAAAGAACCTTTGCACCTACCACATATTCAGCGAGAAAGTCGAACGAGAAAAGTCAAGTACACCGTTTTAAATGGAATAAAATCAACTATTGCGAATAATGTGTTTACACTGTAGAGTGTACACTCGATGTAATCAATAAATTGTTTTATTTTATCTATTCTATTTTAACGACAAATATTATATATAATATGACATTTTTAGAAGTATATTAAAAGTTTATGTTTATTTGAAAAATCGAAATTTAAAAAAAATAGATATATTCTTTTAGTATTACCTAAACGTAACATATAATTTTATTATATAGGTTTTGTACTTGCTTAAACAACAAATTAAAATACTTGAGTTTAGAGATTTTTAATAATATTTGTTAAATTTGGTTTAATTGTCTTGGATTAAAAATGGTCTACTATGAAAAGGTAATTTTTAAAATGAATAGACCGTAAGGCTGTTAAACAAAAATGTTCAAATATTTCGTTATTTAATAGGTAATTGAATTTAAAAACCAAATAATCACGTAATTAAATTTTCAAACGTACATTTTAAAATATAACTTAATTTTGGCACTTTATCATTTACGTCAAAGAAACTAATTCATTTTAGTTCTAAGAAATCAATACTGCATAATATTATGCTCTCAACTGGGGTTAAAAAAAACCAATTGGAACTTAAAAATACAATTTAAATTATCAACGCAAATAACAATAATGATATTAATATTTTTATAGTGTAAACAATTATTATTTTCATACAATTGACATTATTTGGATCAATACAATACATATTATTATGGTAGTAGTGTAGTACTATAGGTACTACTATTATAGTATTACACACAGCCCAGTCATAAAAAGTCAGTTTGTCATTTTGGTTTTATATTATATCAATAAATAATACTGATGAACGCGGTGGGGGAAACTCGACAAATCGGAATCCTAATATTTTATAAATTTGAAACATATCGTTACCTTTTGAACTTGCAAGTTAAGTGCTATTGGGTGTTACTTCTTAATCAAGTAATTCATGTAAAAAAACTACTCTCATCACATAATATGCTTACTGTGCATTTTGCACAGATTATATATTTCTCTTATAAAAAAAAAAAACCATCATTAATAATTCCAAGCGATTAGAGTATTTAAGCCTAGATGAATTCAAACGAGTTTCGTTATTAAATCATTATTGTACTACGTGCAACGACAAAAATATACTTGTCAGCGAACCACAACTACGTTTAAATTACACAGGTGAAAAAATCACACAGACTTGACAGACATTCACGAATGTAAAAGCATTTTTATTTTATAATTTAGGTCTGTTGCGGTTGTTTAATGTCATTCATAACAGTAAAATAATATCAGTTGGGGTACAAGTATAATAATAATAGGTCATAGGTATTGTAGTTACATTATATTTTACGTTAAATGGAATACATCAAAACCACTTGGTTATAAAACCAATTCAAATACAAGATTCTGTTTACGTTGTTTTCATTAATTGAAAATATGGTTACATTTTGATTATATACTAAGTACAATGAATATTGTAAAAATCGATTTACTACTCATCAACTCACGTCTAAAATGTTAATTCGATTATAAAAAGATACCTACTAATAGTATAGCATTACTATTATTTAATAATCATTAAATTTTAATGTGTTATGAAAAAACATTAGGTACAACTTTGTTTAACGTATTGCTTACGATATTTATTATTTATTTTTGAAATATTCAAGGTTTTAAAATAAATAATTATTTTAAATATATATTCTCATAAGTTTTTTTTTAATAGTTTGTTTAATAAATTCTGCAAAAAAAAAAAATAGAATCTCTTGTAGCTTTTTTAATAACACACACTATATAGCAGTACAACTACAACACATATAATACACACACACACACATATATATATATATATATATATATATACAGTAAATTACATAATATTTATAAATTGACGACGAGGAAATAAATTAATACGTGTTATCGAAATGTTTGGTTATTAAAAATCAACTGTGTACCATAAATTATTATAAATTGATAAACAATTAACATTTCCAATAATATTTTACTTATTCGACAGAAAATATAACATTTGTGTGCGTACGTTTATATGTTTTTAATAAATAAACTTTTTTTATCACAACCATTAAAATAAATGTTTTTATTTCATATATGTTGACATATAAAACAAATCAATAATAATTTTCATCATCCGATTTGATACGGTTATTTATGCGTAGATGACTTGAGTTGGATATATTTTTATTTTTTAATTGCTTTGTATAATTTTCCAGAAAATAATCATTTATTTAAAAATTTAACACTTTAATATGGTCAATAAATCATATTTTACTTGTGAATAATGAGTAATTTACTTTAAATAAAATAATCTCTTACAATTTCACCGTTCCTTTGGAAAATATAATGTGCTTTATTTTAAAACCGTATAGACATGTCGAGAGAACGTTTATCTTCTACAATGCATACACCATTAATTTGTGTTTTTGGTATGACTATATAATACATATATAGCAATTGCCATATAGTACACACAAAACCATCATCAGTCTGCAATGCGTATTATAATGATTATAATCCTTATGAGATTCAAGCAACGTAAAATCCATTTAAAACAATTTTGATAATAATAATATTCTAAACCTATGTTTGGTTTAAGTATACTTTAATGAACATACCTACATCGTTTTCTACCTTTCGGTGTTCCACACGATTTATAATCGTATAGCCGAATTACACAATATTATACATATCAACTTTAACTAAATAATAATTTCATATTCATTCATTAATATTTTTCATTTGTTTTGTCTTTTACACAATATGTTATGTTTAATACTTTAATGTGCATATATATATATAAATGTATATATATTGCATGAAACACATACATTAATATACGTATGGTAAATTAATTAGTAATTAGAATGAATGAAGATAATGTTTTATTTTACCTTAATTTTATTAAAAAACATTAATGTATGGAAAATTAATGAAATAAAAAATTTCCTAAATTATTTCATTAGATATTACGAAATATTTAGACGAAAAAAGTTTTCAAAAGAGAATAAAAAAATAACGAATGCAATTTTTTTAGATTGTTTTCCCAGATGTACACGTTGTATTTTTTTCTCCACAATGTTGATTTGTATTATATTTGTCTCTCGCATGTTATATTTTTAACTTCACTTCGTTTAAAAAATAAGACTGATCTATCAGTTGAAAAAAATGTATCTCCAAACAAAAATATGAACTGTTGTAACGTTTAACAATTTTTAAGTTTAGAATTTTTTTACTGGCGTTTAACACGCCACTCACTCACATGTCATATTTTCATTTTGTGAAATTCCACAGATTTGACGCACTCTCGTACCTACTCAACATGACTCACTCTCTAGTTAAAAAACAATTTTGAGATTATTGAAGTCGAAGGATAGAATCAGAAAGTAAAAAAATAAGATCAATATGCATATACGATAGTACCTACGAATACATCAACCGATTTCTGTGTATTTTTCAACTCAATAAAATGTATTTATTTTTAAATGCACAGAACTGCAATAATAAGAGCAATAAGAATACGTTTACTAGTGTATAAAAATAAAAATAAACTCTGTTTATTTAAAATCGAAATAAAATAAAACGAAACGAATTCTTTTACAGAAATGACCTTTCCGACGCAATATAGTCATAAAAAAAATATTTGATACTAAATCCTAGTCAAAGCCACGATACTTGAAATATGTACTAAAAGTTTTATCAGCGGAAAAATCATATTTAACCATACAAACCAACTACGTAGTATTATAGTACGAACAAATTCTTACCCGTGTCTACAGTTACGTCGAACAGTTTGGCCACCAGATGTCTGCCTCTCACTAGGAATAGACTGCCACGATCGGCTCTGGTTAATATACCGACGTTGACAAGTATCTTGTGGCACAGGACGTCGATATCCAATTCGTTCGACACGTCCCGGATGAGCTCCATAAAAAGCTCCCCTTCGTCTAACAGACCCAAATGATGTCTCCATTCACCACTGCTCCGTGTCACTCTGTTGAAATCATAAAGGTTTTTGTTTGGATAAATAATGTGATACTTACATTACACCTAATCGCTAAACATGCAGTCTATTATATACAATAGAACATCATAAAATATAAAGGTAGGTACATATACTTTGATAGTATAAGCACAATATGTATACATTTACATAATTTTACCCTTATCAACTCAAGACTATACACATTAGTTTGATATAGGTAGGTAATGTAATAACATCATTGAAATTTTAATATAGACGTCAAATACTTTGAAATATGAATGGATAATATTATACCTGTTTTCCGTTGGCTACAATACAATAGTATAATGTTAGATACGATTTAACTTAGCTCAACAATTATAAAATTACTGTTTTTTTAAATAAATATTAAAAAATGCATTTGCACTTGCTGTTTACTAAACATCATTATCAGATTAAAAAAAACATATTTTGATCGATGCATAGTATATAAAATACTTATATCTTATATGCAATAATTACCTATAAAATATATCTTTTTTTTATAAATTAATTATTATGATAAGCTGCGTGGTATTTCAATTAATTGTAAAGATATTTTAAACGTGCATTTTTCCAATAAAAAAAAAATTGTAAAACATATGGAGGGAACTTACTTAATAATTAACTGAAGTATAATAATTGTTTTTTAAGTTATGTTTATTAAAATGTATTAAAATGTATTTTTAAGTTCACCTGTATCTTTTATTTATTTTTCAAAATTTATATTGCTAAAAATAAAATCATTTCATTTATATATGAAAATATCATATAGGTACCTACAAAATATTAGTTTAAAAGATTTGATCTAATAAAAAAAGGTCCTGTAAGCTGGGGATTGTATAGTATAAATGTTTTTAAGTAAAACGATTACTTCTATCTGATAATCCTCAAGTGCTTTAAACAAAACCAATATGGCAAATTGGGTTTTATAAGTTTTAAATCATATTTTTTTTATAAAATATTTAAGCAACAGTACTGTGTACAAAGTACTTTAAAACTTTAAGAAATTAAGATATTTCTTAAGTAAAAAATTGTTATTTCTTTGAAAATCAAACGGCAATTTATTATTTTTAATATATCACTGTAAAATATTAAAATACTCAAATTACGTAAATGGACAATGTAATATTACAGATGTTATAATATTGATATTTTTTTTTATCGGATAGGTACCTCATTAAGAGCATTCAATTTAAAGATCATAAGTAACATTTTTTTTATCAAAATTGAGTTTTCCATTTAATAAATAATTAAAAATATTGAATGATATTCTTTTTTTAATTAACATGTTTATCAGTTGATTTCAGTTCGAATTTCATGATATTTTATATTTCAATAGTTTGACCAAGGAAAAAAAATTAAATCGATATTACATTAACATATTATTATGAATAAATAAATCATGAAGCCAACGTGATATCATAGAATTCACTTTCTGAATCATTCACTCGTTATATTATTTCTACATTTTTGACTAGATTTACGAAGTATGATAATAATTCAGAAAGTAAAGTGAATTTTACGAAATCACTTAGGTTCCTGATTTTTAACGAATTCTATTAATTTATTGAGGCAGAAAATTGAAGATGTATACAACATTATTTAAAAAATGTATCTATATTTACCAGCTAAACATTATAACAAAATATGGTTGATACAAATGATAGCGAAGAAAGTTGAAACGCATATACATAGTAATATGCCGGTAAATTGTGGCAAATTTAAAATGTTTATTTAGCTTTCACGGAATGTTTAATTTAGTCTATATCATTATTCTTTCGAGTGGAAATATTATCATTAAAATACACAAAAAACAACGAAAAAAACCCATTGAATCAGTGAATAAGGTTGCATATGTTTGGGACGGGATAGTCAAGATATAAAGAAACGAAATATGTTTCGTATTGGAAAACCATCAATAACCAACATGGGATATTGTATAAAATCTTACATCTGTCACGACTCTTTTGGATTTCATTTGACGTCAAACGATGGCAAAATCAATGAAGATTTGTCTTCCGGCCACTCATACGACTTAACAAAATAATTCGTTCGCTGACAAATTCACAAAAATCCATAAACGGAATTTGACTTTTCGGTTTTGTAAGTTTATTCTATTATGACATGTAAAGTTGTCATTACGTTCTCCATCGTTGACTTGTGTTTGCATATTATTGTTACACATTTATTATGCGGTCCTTGTCAGAATATTATGTCCAACGTAACAATAAAATGTTGAAATTAAGAAAAAAACAATATGTATTCGGAGGCACATACTATTCATAATCATTTGGGGTATGAGGACTAAAAACGAATATTATGCTTAAAGCTGTCCAGTGAAAATGTCCCTACTTTCACCAATAACTTTAACAGCGCAATGTTCCTAATCCTCGTCGGGGGTAATTGTTGACGACAGATTTACCAATAACGAAAACAATAAAGTCTAAAACATTTATGCTTATTTAACTATTAGCCTACGCCCTTCACTCAACAGTGCTATAAAAATGTACTATTTACGTACCTACCTAAGTACCTATATATATATATATTATACACGCGTTAATGTTTATACTCTCGTCGGGTCACTGATACACTCGCCTATTCTACGTATACGAGTAATAATTCCTCATAAAAAATGTAAAATTAAAAGCGTAGACAGCGCAGGTGAAACTAAAGGAATTCGCTGTAAATTATAAATACAATTTTTTCCCTTGGCGATAATTAACTCCCCCTTGCAGCAGTGGTACACAATTGTTAGTATATAATATTATTACACTATCATGCGCACTTGTTAAAAGTACTTTTAAAAAGAATTTTAAATACATTTAAATACTTAACGAAAGCTCTGCACAGGATTGAAATAATTTGTCTATAGTACGGATTTTTGTTTCTCTGGTAGCCGAATACTATTTTTTTTTTTTAATTGAGGGGAGGCAATGTCAACAGACAAATCCCCTTAGCATAATATATACATATACTAAAAGTAAACTTTGTATTTTTGTTCAGCGCTGTCTATGTTTAAACACGAAATAACGATATGAGAATATATAATGTTGTACATTCAAAATACTTTTACCTACGTGGAGTAAAAAACTCAACGATACGGACCATAACGAGTCTTACGAACAAAATGATATTACACGAGCGCATAGGCATTAATATTTTGTGCTCGACAACCAACATACGGTTATACCACGACTGCGGTCTAGTTACCTGTTCGGCGACCTCGACCGTTTGATCGGAGACGACGCGAGCCAAGTGTTGAACATTTCAGACGTCATGGAGCCTCGTTTCACCCGGCTTATCGTCAACGACCCCGTGCGGTGCTGGAGCCGTGCCCGGATCACGCGGTCCACCAAGTCTTGCGGAGCTTTTTCGCACAGCCACCGCTCAACCTCGTCAGCGTCCAGGTCCATCGTGGCCCGGTCAATCACTGAACCGCGGCAACTGATGCACGACTGAGGCCCGCCCGCTGAACAACCCTGGAAATAAATAAAAACAGACCCCCGATCCATCGTTAATCATCTCATAATATTATGTTGATAATAATAATAATAAATAATATTATGCAACTCTACGATTTTATTTAATAATCGCATCGAAAATATAACGTAATAATATATATCATCGTTTTGGGCCGATCGCGACGCCGACGACGACAATTATAGTAGCAATACATCGAAAATATTATTATTAATACGATATAAATCCGTGGCATTGGACATTTTTTTTTCTTTTGGGGGGGGGGAGCGTTTTTTACACACAATATAATATTATAATGTTATAACGTTATACCGCGTCTGTGTAATGTTGTGATTTTTCGACACCGTCTATATATTATATTATTTATATAGCGACACGTGCGGGCAATTTATCTTCGTCTCCGACACTGCAGCACACAACAATCTGCGTTCGTGCGCTACTATGTAACTCCCCTACACGGTTTCCGAACAAGTAAAAATCACCATTGATAATACAATATTAATGGACCCGGAAACTCTTTTTTCAATTTTCTTCTCATTTCATTTGTTTTTTTTTATTTTTATCAGTTACGACGTGTAATTCCCATTATATCAAAAGTTTTGATAAACGCGCCTGTATAGTGTAAAAATAAAGATTATCTTTGTAACGGTTTTTATTTTTTATAGTTACATTGAGAAAGTAGCTTTCGTAAAACTTTATCGTACTACCTCCACCACTATTATAAGCTGGTTTAGTCTATTATGATTCCTCAAAGCTTCATTTGAGTCTTGATAAAATTCCTCTGCACGATTTATATTTAATATTTATATGTATCGTTATTCGCAAAGGGGATAATCATACTTTTCGACACCGTAATTATTATCCCAAGAGTGCGCTTGACAACGTTTGACAGTCCATTTAAATAAAAACTCCATAAAATACCTCCTACTTAAAAGTTTTTCTCGGCTCTCAGCCACTTCTTTACGAAAAGCAATTAATGTTCATACAGTTACCGCTCTTCTTTTGTTTAATCATATCCAACCAATAATTCACATTAGCCATAAGGTAAATATATGCTACTAATATTGATGACTTTGTAAATAGCCATAAGCCCGACACTGCTTTTCAGTTATTTGAGAACATCTCATCCTCCTTAAAAAATGGTACAAGGAATGGGGCATGGAAATATATGAATCTAAATCCATGCACTTCACCTTCACCCTTCATCAGAAAGAACATTCACCACTTATTCTAAATTATTTAGTCTTACACTCTGTTTTACCAACTGCTCAATGAATCCATTAGGTAAATAGATATTGGTATAAATACAGCAACGAACTTCTCAGCCTCCGAGTGGCTGCAACCCTATACGAAAAACTCTAATCTAAACAATTTTATCGACTTCGATCTCTTAACTTTCAATCACACAAAATTAGAACTAAGCTATGTGTAACTATATATACTAATCACATAACTTTTCACTAAAGCAATTTGCAAAACACAGATTCCAGCTATAATTAGACTCTGCTAACATTTTAAACATCAATCGTCATCAATGTTCTTAATTCAAATCTCTAATAAAGAAATTTTTTAACGTATGATATTGCTCTATACTCAATAATCTATACTTTATAGAGTAGCTAAACTATATTGTAATTTATTTAAGTTAAATCACAAAAATCGCATAAATCCTCTAATCGAATAGTACTATTGCATCAACTTATTAAACCTGGTAATTCCCAAAAATGGTAAAAAAAAAAAAAAAGGTAATGGTGTTGTGATCAGCTTTAATAATCATCGTTATAAATGTAGAGGTACTAATGATATAATTTTATAAATAGCTAGGTACCTATTATTGAAATAATTTGTTCTAAACTCACTAGTTTTTAATTATTAACAATAATTGTTTCTCCTGTGAAAGAATGTTGATTCATTCTGTGATTCCTGTATTTCTTTTTCATTATAGATACCACATTATTCATATTCAATTATAATTAGTTATACGCATCGAGATTTCCAGATGTAAACTACATTATAGTATTTAAATAACAGTTCCGAACAAACAATAAATCCAATTAATGCAGCATGGAGGTTAATTATTTTGAGAAGCTGCTCTATGTTTACATACATATTTTGTGTAAATAGGTACAAAAATATGAGCTTAAATAAAACAGATTGTAGTTAATACTACGCCTAAAATATTGGCAATAATACTATCTGGTACCTACTCATCATAAAAAAGGTTGAAATAAATATAAGTACTGTAATTCTCAATAGTAGATCTTGTAGATATGATATAATATACTGTGCAATATGAATCGCATACTAAATACTTTAACAACAGTCTACAAAAAAATTCGAAGACTATAATGGTTATTTTGCCCAGCACTAATTAGGATTCCTGCTAACCAAAATATGTAATTGACTTTAAAATAAATAGTTTCTAACCTCATACATGCAACAGAAAATATGAATACATTTATGATGTTCTTATCTTAAAAATATTTTTAAGTGATGATGATAAATAACTAAGAACTTATGAATTGTATAATATAAATATTCATACATGGTATGAAAACAAAATATCTAATACCATACAACGAATGATATTATTACCGCTGTAAACAAATAACATACGTACCTAATTTTCGGAGGTAAAAAAAATATTAATATCTCAATTTAAAATGCAATTCTGAATTATATAACCGTTTTAAAAAATAAACTTTAAGAGATCCGAAAAAAATCACAAAGAAACTACAACAATGTTCAATGCATTGTTTCCCTTCAATGGCAACCTATAAAAAAGAAATAAAACGGATTCTTTAAATCCCAGAACTTGTCAACCTATCATATCGAAAACTAAAGCACAGTGTGTTTTATTGACAACTCGGTATATTAACGTCACACCGTTCAGAATGTGACTCGTATCAGTTATTACATCAACCTGTTAAGCGTCTTCATTGAAGTCAGTGTTCGCTATTTTTTCTTTTACAAATCCTATATACAGTAGTAAGGCCGACTTTGATGTTTCTTTCATTTATTCCAGTAGATATTTTCAATTAAATTTGAAATGAAGGTTGATAATCAAATTAAGTCGAACGCACACATTTATATTGAATTTGAATTTAAATTTCTGAATATATTCTACTATTTTCAATTTTCGTTATTTATCTATGCAGTTACAACATACCTACCAAAAATAAATACTAATTTTAAGCTGATAAGTTTCATTATTGATCTCTCTGTAGTGTTTACTTCATTATACTGTCAATTAGTATCTAACTATATTATACTAATGTCATTTTTTACGGATATGGATAAATTCAAAATATATCAACATTTACTACATTTATCAGCGATAACAATATAACAATATTATCAAACAAATAGAAAATGACTGTAAAAAAAATAGAAAAGAGTTTGGTAGTTGTTGATTGTACCTCATAATATTTGAGTACATGTGACTGTAATTGATAACAATTAGTTAAATTTAAATTCAATGATGTATTTATGTGCACGATGATTCTGAGTGGATCTATATTTCTAAGGATATAAATTTGATTATTTAATTATTAGTAATTTGTTTTTCCACTTGAAGAAAGGTAGGCTGAACTTATTTTTGCCAAAAATAATTCACATATTAATAATAATTATGATATTATTTCATACATCATTAGTTGCTGTTATTTACCAACAAATCAATACCAACATACCATACAGAGGTCTGAATAGACTCGAGGTATAAATAGAATACAATTAATCAAAATATAATTTGAAAATTGTATTTATACTGTATAGTAAATAATAATAGTAGTGAAAAGTTTCAAGTCCCTGCATATAATATTTTTTGAATTACAACAAATAACTAAAATCGTTATTTTTCGTTTATTAAATATAGGTATCCAATGTCGTAAAACTTTGAAATACAACCATTCATATAAAAGGTATGCCGATATATACTAAACTTTTTGTTAAATTTCCAGTAAAAAAGACTTATGATGAATCTAATATTACATTTTCAAGTTTTCTTACTGACAAACAACAATTGAAGATAAATTAGTGGAAAAAAATTTTTTAAAAAAGTTGAAAATGATGTACATCTACAAACAGCTTTAAACAGAGTCAAACTATTATAAATATTTAATACTGTCTTCAAAATTCAAGTATAAATAGTTGGTAAAAATTTCAAATTTAATTAATTTTTGTCGAAAGCCGTGTTTGAGTAAATATTACTTCATTTCCTATTTTGTTTTTGTTTTTCCAGATTATTTTGAAAATTGCAAGAAAATATCTATATTTTCACCTGAAAAGTGCAATCAAGATCTAATTAACTAACAGTAAATCCATTAGCAATATTAATCAAACCCTTTTTCTTAAAATCTACTATAAAAAATAAAAAGTAAAACTACCAAATCGATCATACATTTTTTTGGCTTAAGTCAGACATAACCAAACTTAAAAACCAATATAACCATCGCTTCCCTCAAAATCTGGTATAGTTAATTATTCCAATCATTCAGTATCGAAAATAATATAAATAGGCGTTGTTTACGCTAGGTATTGTACTTATTACTAAAAATAAATTAGATACTTTAATTCTTTAAATATTCTGAATCATCACAAGTACGACCTAATCGGTAACAAAACTATTTTTCCGAGGCATTTACATTGATTACACACTCAGCAAATGACCATAGTTGCCACGGTTTTCTTATTAAAAAAAAACTCTGATAATATGATTGGGCATTACAATTAAAAATATATTAACATACACACAATGATCAACTTAGCTGTATTTTTAAAAAGATATAGTCGATCTAAAAAAATATTATTAAATATTGGTGCCAATGTAATAAATTCAAATTTTTAAGCACCAATTTATTATTATAGTTTTCAATCAGAAAGAAATCACAATAAATTAATTCCATTATGACGAAATCGGTATTCATGGCTATATTAAATTGTCCTGGAGTAAATATAGAAAATATTTTATGCCAAATTAATATCATACCGCACTATT